TCCTCTCCAATTGCCAGTTTCTCAGATAGTCTCCGAAAGACTGTCCCTGTGTCTATAACTCAAGAAAGGACTCTGAGAAACATGGATTTTAGTTGACTTGGCTGTCTTGCTTTAAGTTGCATCATTTTGTTGTACATGCTTCACCCATCTCAGGGCATTGTATCAGAGCATGTGCTTGGGGGACGCGCAGCTGTCAAGCATTATTCCAGATAAACAGAGCTGTAGCTGCAGCATATCGGAAAAACTGTCCAAAAATCAGATGGCTGCTCTTTCTTCCAGTGTGAGCTTGCCTTTTATTTAGCTATCACTGCACAAAAGGAGTTTGGAACAGGAAGTATCACACTTGGCACATTTTTTTTTAAAAAAAAACAACTAATTCGCATTCAAAAATTGTCTACCTGCTTTTTTGTTGTTGTTCAAGGCCTGTTGCTTGTTATGACCCAGGGCATACCAATGTTTCTTTTACTCCCCCCGCCACAATCTCCATGGAGTTCTGCTGTTCTCAGTGATATGATGAGGAACAATTCAAGGATGCAGATAACAATGAATCCTATTTAGGTATTTATTTATTTATTGTAATTCTTTTTGAAGTGAACAGCAAGATCAGGGTGGTAACACTGAGAGTATGCTAGAGGGTTGGTTTGCATCGACACACTTAAAAGAAAATGATCTCTCTCTTTTTCACTAGTTCTTCAGACTGAAGCAAATTATTTTTGGAATGGGTAGACTAGGAAATCTCCCATTACAGAGACCAAGTGAATTCAGGTATGAAACACTTAAAACAACAGCAAAAAGCCTCTTATAACTCCAGCCTGCTGGTATGTAGTGCAGATAACAGCAGAATGATTTAGGTCAAATTCCCCATAGGGCTGTTCCTGTAATCCCTGTTGAATTCTGGACCATCTCCAGGTGATCAGCTACAGTTCAGATCCAGCTTCATGCTCCATTTCCCTTTATAAAGACTTAAAGCCCTACGTTATCAGAAATCAACAGTCCTTCATTTGCTGCATAGTACACATTTAGCAGCCAGACTTCTTCTCTAGCTCTTCCCAGTTCCCAGAAACCAGGAAGCTGGCACAAATCCATCAGACAGAGGCTCGTCCACAGTGGTCCTGTAGGAGGCATGATTGATGAAAGGGTTTGGTCTCAGCTTATACTGGCTCTGGGGCACTTGGACTGAATCCTGTGCATCCTGGCGAAGCAGAGCAGGATTGAACTCTAGAAGATTATATCACTTGGAATGGATTTTGGCAGCAAGTGCATTTTCACCTCTTCTTACCCCCCCCCCCCACTCCCTGCTTTCCTTTTCCTTTTCACAGCAAATGGCTTTGTTGGCTTACAGCTTGAAATTCCCTGTCCACTTTAAACAAGTTTCCACTCATCCTTTGAAAGGTATGGGAAGAGTAAATGTAGGTTGCAGTCCTTTGCAGCTTTCCTGGGAGTAAGTTGAACTCCAAGAACTTACTTCTGAGTAGACGCATAAGTATTCTGTTAATGAAATTATTGCTGATTGCAAATGTTGAGAGGTAAAAAAGAGTCTCCGTGTTTTGATCACTATGTATCCTATGCAATTCAAAATTGTATCTGGTAAGCATTAGCCTAGGGATTTAATACCCCACTGTTATGAGAAGATAACATCATTGTACAGGAATAAAATATTTGCTGGAACCCATCTTGTTTATTGGGTAGAATTTAAGGTCTGCAATATAGAACTTTTTAAAAAGCCCAGCTTGTGTCTGATTTTCATTACGCGTTTCAACAAGAATGTGGGAAACACTAAAAGCAGTCAGCATATGTTGTGTTTTTATCTTTCATAAACTGTTTTTCAAAGTGTACACCTGGAAAGTGAAGGATAAATTGAGAATACAGAAGGGTGGGGAAAGATTCTCTATTCCCCCCCTTCCTGCTTTTAAGTAGCTGCTGGGAAAGAGGGAATAGTTTGAAAACATCTTGTAATCATGAATTAGAACGAATTATGTCACATAGCTGTGGAGGCCATTTAGTATTTCAAAAACACAGCAGGGGACCTTTTTTAAAGACATAATTAAAAACAACAGAAGATATAGACTGTTATGGATCTTAAGTTCTAGGCTTCCGGAATAATTTAAGTCCCTCTGAAATACCCCTTGCTGTTGTCATCTATTAGCATCTGTGTGATATTTCCCTTCAGTCAGAGCTTTCACTTTAGGAAATGGGGCAAAAAGTCAATAGGTCAGGCCTAGATTGGTCAGTATTCCGAGCATTTCAGTTAAATTCCATTCAGTTAATTTTAGATGAAAAGACACTTTAAAGGGAACATTTGAATAACACATGGTATGTACTGCTGGGAAATAATTTATCTTTAACAAGGAAAAGACATTGTCAATTTGGTTGATGTATGCATATTGGTGTAAATAATGGATCCGTCTGAAAAGGCTACGGGTGTGAGATCCCTTCCCAGGGGAACTTCTGTGCCAAACCTACTTGGTATTGTATTGGGTGATTTAAATTTACACTTGACTGTTCCATTTATTCTGCATGATGAATTGAAACGATTCTGTGGCATTTCAACACACTGCCACCATCATTGCATTTATTTCCTCCTTGATTCCCAAAAGAACATGCATAGGAATTCAATGAGGATGAATGTAGATACACATTTGTGTGTGTCTACACCTACCCACATGTTCTATATTCAATTTTATGGAGAGAGGACATATGCAGGTGCAAAGAATGTGTTTTTTCAATCTTTCAGTTGAAGTGAATGAGGGAACCTTCACACACAATTATGCCCCATCTCCCATGAGCATCAAGGCACATTCAGATCTCTGGATTGAGGAGAAAGAATCATAGAATTGTAGCGCCTGAGGGTCATCTAGTTCAATTTGAACATAATGGGGATAAAGAATGGGAATAAATGAGAGCAATACGTTCATAGTATCTGCAATGTAGAGAAACAATGCTGGAATCATGCCCACAGCTTTCCTACAGGGTGGGCTCAAACCACCAACCTTTTGGTTAACAGCCAGATGCGCTGACCCATTGCACCATGTTTGAGGAGTACTCCTGAAGGCAGTATTATGAAGACTTGCAGACACATAGAATGTCTCTGCTTTGCTCACAGCTGTGATTGGATCTGACAAATGTTGCTAGACTCCCAACCCTAAGGTTTTTGACCTACGAGTTTATTTTCACAGGGGTATAGGGAGGTTCTATATACAGATACTTTTATCCCTTAGTAAAATTTGCTTGCATTTTAATTCTTGCAACAGAAATTGTTTATGGAAAGATTATTTTTGGTATCAAGTGATTCATTTTATTGAACTGCAATTTAATGACATTTTCCAGCAACCTAGTCAAAAGAAGACCTTCCACCCATGTTTTCCACACTATTGTTAATCTTATCACTAGTATAGCCAGGGCCGTCTTACCCATAGGAGCGGGGCACCCAGGCGCCAGGCTCTCAGGGATGCCAGGCTGAGAGTCTAGGGCCTGAGAGTTGAGTCCCAGGAAGAGTCTACCCGTCGGTCGGAGTGCTGCGGCAGGCTCTTCTGTTGCGGGTGGCTCTGCGCCACGAGTTCCAGGGCGACTGAGCCAGTGAGACGCTGAGGTGGCCAGCCGGCTCCACACTCCTGTGCCCCTGGGACTGGGCAATCGGGGGGGGGCAGGTGGATCTTTGCACCCCGGCGCCGCATATGCTTAAGACAGCCTTGAGTATAGCCATGGCTAATAAGGATCACATGAAGTTAATATTTTGGCTGCAGCTTCTTGCCCCCTTCTTTCATTTTTCTCTTGTATCGACAAGTTGTTATCTACTATCCTCTCAAATCTAGTGACATATTTCTCACTATGTTTAGGGGTCAGCAGTGCAGTGACACCAGCCATTGGCATCTTTAAGCAGGATATTGTCTTAATACAGTATATAGCTTCATTCCCTTTGCCATTACATAAATAAAGCATTCAGTGTGTGCATCAGTGCCATCAAGCATGAATACCCCGGTGGACTGGGAATTAAATGCCAAGTGAGGGTCAGAAGCAACAAAGGCTGAATAACACTCAGCAAATGTATACATATTAGGTAAGGAACACTGCTCCTGGTGCAGAAGAAATTGAATAAGCACCTTGCAATGTCTAGATGGAGCATAAAGACTTCTTTTGTGTGCCTCAACAACTATCGTTAAGCCATGCAGAATATTCCTTCATGGAATGAGCCAGAAAATGGTTTATTAAAGTACAAGGGGAAATGTTTGCATTCTAGATTCCTTGATGGTACTACTATATTGCATTATGGTTATTTTATTTCATTGGCTGGAGCATTATGGGTACGTGAGCCTGCAGAACAACATTACATCTTTCCTGGGGGTTTTTCCAGTCAAGAGATAATGTTGAACAAGATAACCTTTTCAATTATGAAAGTGCTATGATTTCTTTGATTATTTTCTTCTCCAAAGAAAAATTTCAACCTGTTCTCATGCATTTTTATTGTAGTGTCATTAGTGCAATGTAGATTTTTCCAGTCCAATGTAAAATATTAACATGTATTAAATCATATTCCCTTGAAGCCCAATTTCTCCAACTTTCACTTTTTTGGGGGGGTATACTTCAGACTTCACTATGAGCTTCCAATCATGTGGTTGTAGGTAACATATATGTCTCATTTATCACCCATTTTTGGTCACTTAAACAAGTTCTCATAATTGAATCTACAAATATGTGAAGTGATTATATTCTTCTAGGTAGTTCCTCAGCAAAAATGCTACCAGAGCAATAACAAACAAGACACCAGCTGTTTGTAGATTTACTGTCTAAACACATGATACAAAAGGAAGAAAAGGACGGAGAGGAAAGAGTTAAGCAAGCAAGCACTTGTTCTTAAAGTTACAAAGCTATTATAATGTTCATTTTAATTATCTTACTACAAACAGGTAAGACCTACCAGGATAATAAGTAAGCAGATGCAAATAAACTGACACTCAGATAATAACCAACATTTCATTTTTATTTTTAGAACAGTTGAAATGTGTGTGTGTGTGTGTGTGTGTTCATGTTCATGTTCTCTGTTCTCTGCTTTCTTCATGCACACACACGTGCACACACACACACGCACACACACACACACTCCATTTTCTTAACCTTTAAAAAGAGCCTATAAAATGAATGCTGAAGGATCTTGAAATCATTCTGGTTCTGCAATAGGGATATGACTCTGGACCCATTAAATACAGGGATGAGGTGGGAAGCTGTTGTTTTTTTACATGTTACTAGACTCCACCTCGCATCAGCTCCTGCTGGTATGGTCAACAGTCTCAGATGATTAAAATTGGTGTTCAGCAACATCTGGAAGATCCCAAGTTAGCCACCACTAGATTAAGCCACATTTTAACTATTAGGTGCCTAATATTAGCCTTTAATATTGACACGATAAAGATCTCTGTCTCTTTTCCCCCCATTCTGAATTCATTTCCCATACATCACATTCCTTATCAAAGTTATTAACAACACAGTCGTATTCATGCCTACTGAAATGTAAGTCTCATTGAGTTGAGCATGATTTACAGCCAGGTAAATGTGTATAGGATTGCAGCCTTATGTAAATTGTAAAGGCATCACATCAACTGGAACCACTTATCCTATTAGAATATATCTGCCTATGTTGGCCCAGAGGTTTCATATATATAATTTCTAGAGTTAATTTAGAAAGAAGCTGTTAACATTTCATAATAGCTGCTTATCTGTGACCCTTTGTCCAAACCATTTCGGTTTTTTTTAAATTTTAATTTAAAAGCCATGGGGCATAAGAAACAAAAACAAAATAAACAAAGCTTTCAAAGTGTTGGACAGACCTTGGGAATCAGAGATCCAAATATCCTAATTTCAAGATGAATAAAAAACATCTTAAGGGAACACTCACAGTTATCAGTAATTGAACATTCCTGGCAATTATTCATCCAAAGGAATAATTATCCCTTGATTCAGTTTTCTGAGTAAGTAACCTATTAAATTTCGCTCTTGTGTGTTAACAAAGACTTCTTAATAAAGATTTTTGTCTTTTCATTTTGCTTGTTCATAAAATAATCTCTGGAAATAGTAAAAAATGATTTTAAAGCAATAGCCAGAATAATTTGTTTTTATAGACATGGACAAGTTTTTTCACTTCTCAGCTTCGTTGTTTTGAAGGAAAGAACTGTTCAGTGGTTGGGTGTGTCTTTTGTCTTTGATGCTAATGGTTGATGATTTTGCTGATGGGGAAAAATGCTGATTTGTACTTGGCAGTATACACTTTTTATTTGTTTTGTGTCATTTTAACATTTTGATACATCCCTTGTGAATTCTTCAGCACGCGTTCGTATTGCAGAGCTAAAATAACATAGGCTGGCCTTTGATCTAGGCACATGTGGTATTATTTTGAAGAGCAGCTTAATCTGTACACATCCAGTCTGCCTTGAGAAGAAAAGTCAACCCTTAAGGGAGCTTGCTAAGGCTACTGAAATCTTCATGGCACATGAAAGTAGCAGTAGCCATATTGTACACAGAACTAGTCAGTGTACAATAACCAATAATACATTGTCTGCGAATATTGCACCATTTTTGCTTGTGTATGTTGGCAGACTCCAATCCCCTGGTACCAACCAATTTACTCAATCCCAATTCCTGTGCTAATGAACCTGCTAGACCCAGTTGCCATTCCTGTATGCATGCAGTTATGACTTCCTAAAGCAACTATATCTGATGCTACATCCGTATGAAATTATTCAGATCACTTTTCATTTTTTTGCTTCTTACTCATTGTGGTTAATTAACAAAATTAAACATTACATTTGGATAGCCTACAGCTCCCTCCAAAAGTTCTAATGGAGCTTATTGTAGTGCCATAATGGACGTGCACAATTTGTGCTTTTGCAGCACAATTCCTACTTAGACATCCTGTAATCTCTACTTCATTATCCGGACAAGATTTCGACTTCCCTTGCAAGCATATCTTTGTGATTAATTGGGCTATTAAGGGGAAGATTCATCACGCAGCCAAGAGGGCAATCTAGCCCTGAAGTTTTGGGATGTTTCTGATGCTAACCTGGGGCCAAAAGAAGTGCTTGGAGAACCTTGCCTGATGCAAGTTAATACATTTGCTCTGTGCATTAATGAACAGTTGGTAAGGCTGATCTGGTAACGGACCATTAAAAGTGGCAAAAATGCTTTAGTTGCTGGAAAACAAATTGGCATCTACAGTTACAAATCAATTACACAAGGTTACTTAAGAACTAGCACTATAGCTCTAGATTAAATAGTTGAGTCTGTTCCTCTCTGTTTTACTCTATCACTAACAAGTGCAGGGGAAAGCAAATACTTTCATAAAAGTTTTCTGTGGACAGAAATTTCAATCTCCTTACTGTTGCATGCCTATTCAGATTTTTGTTTTTAAAGATTTTTGTTTTAAAGACCATGCCCTCCATCATTGAATGAACATGGCTGTTACTTAAGATGCAATTTAAATCATCATGGCTATTTAACTACAGTCCCACTTTAGTGCTGTGATTGGTCATGTTGTTTTCATTGTTCCTCCCTGCTTAATACTGGCACTTGTTTGGGTAACACGTTTAATTAAAAATTTTGGCTGCTTAAAATATTTTGTGAAGGGCAGCTTTTTGTTTTATTTTGTCCGTTAGTTTCTTTTAGACTTTATTTCCCTTGCTTTGGAGTATTCATTTTTCTTTGTAGAACCAAAGACGTAAAACATAACTCCACCACCTAGTCATCCAGCCCCACAAAAATAAATATTGTGTAATACACACTCTTTTAAGCCTCATTGGTATGGATAAGAGAAAAGAGCACCTCTGGTTTGTACCAGTAGTAATTTAGTTTTTAAGGACTAGATAGGACTTGCTTTGATCATAAACTTTCTACATAATATATTAACAGTGCCGTCCTATACATGTCTACTCAGAAAAGGATCCCGCTGAATTCAGTGAGATTTGCTGCTGGCAAAGTAAGTGTGTATAATATTGTAGGGCTGAAATGTACTCATGCCAGGCATGCCCAGAGGTACCTGATAGTGGAATAGTATGGAGGGAAGGGAATAGTGCAAGATGATCTGACACATATTGGGTAAGTCACTTACCCATTGTCACTGTGCTAGAAGTGTCTAGTACACAATTTGTTTGTTTATTACTGTACAGTTGTACCTTTCCTTTCCTCCAAGAAGCTCAAGACAGTGTACAGTGGTACATCGGGTTACATACGCTTCAGCTTACAGATGCTTCAGGTGACAGACTCCGCTAACTCAGAAATAGTACCCCTGGTTAAGAACTTTGCTTCAGGATGAGAATAGAAATTGCACGGTGGCAGCAGTGGGAGGCCCCATTAGCTAAATGGTACCCCAGGTTAAGAATAGTTTCAGGTTAAGAATGGACCTCCAGAACGAATTAAGTTCTTAACACGAGGTGCCGCTGTATATAATTCTCTTCTCAGTCTCTTTTACCCTCCCAACGACCCTGTGAGGAAGGTTAGGCTGAGAGAGATTGTGAGTGGTCTAATGTTACCCAGTGACTTCACAACCCAAATGGGGGATTTGAATCTGAATCTCCCCAGTATTCTTGTCTTCATGGAGTACCCACATAATGGTAACCCAACAGTGAATCTGTGGTGTGGCAATAAAGCTATCTGCCTGCTTTGGTGTGTGGGATCACCTTGATGGACATGAATGCTTAGGGAGTTCAGTCCTGCCCTCCTACAATAAAAAGAAAAGAATGGAAAAGAAAAAGGAAATACTTCAAGGGTCGTTTGCAGTAGACCAGGCACTTGCTCTTTCTTTCAACCAGAGAAATGGTACAAAACCATCACTTTACAAAGGCAAAACCACATCATAAAGTTAAAAAAAAAGGTTAAATAAAACTAGTATAAAACTGATGGGAATATTAGTTACAATTCATGCCACAAGCAAAAGCCCTTTCATCTTGCCTTTTATATCTTCAAAAAGTCAAGAGATTTGGTCATCGAGTTCATAACAGATAACTCTTGACCTGTAGAAATTTAAATATTTTCTCATTTTTCTTATGTTTAACCTTCTGGTTAAACTTTGCTGCTGGCCTCTGAGTCTATACTTTTAACTGCAGACCTTGTGTGACCATGCAAGTCATCACAAGATCAGCGCCAACTTTAGCACTGTTTTATTTTATTGGCCTCTGAGTACAGTCTGCGACACCGTACTATTCCATAAAGCTGATTGCACCCAAGAATTCAAGGCCTTACATGGTCAGCTAACACTGCAGCATGCTTTCTCACCTGTTTTACTACTGACCATGAAGAAATGCGGTAAGGCGTTCTATCAACTGATCTGATTTTGCTCCGCCAGTGTGTAAAACAATAAATTGAAATTGAAATTAGAATCAAGGAACAAACACTTTCACAGGGACATATAGTCTACAGGGCCACATTAATTTGCCTTATCCGTTATCCATGTCATTACCCTTGAGGTGTTCAGTAGAGTTTCCCTGTTTCATGTTGTTTGCTGTGGTGCCAAGAAGTAACTAATTCTATGTGAAGGTAGCTGTGGTGAAGTAAATAGTACTTTTAGACTCCAATCTTATATTTGTTTACCTAAGAGTAAGCTCTACTTGAACTCAAGGGGGCTTATTTCTGAGTTGATATGTGTAGGATTTTGCAGTTCCATCTCATGTAGCTTGATTCACAAATTGGTTGCACCAGATTCAGCTTAGGCTTTATCTCAGATGTGTCCAGCAGAAACTTTCCAAGTGATCACTGAAACAAAGAGTCTGAAGTTGGGAAAGAAAAGAAGAAAAGAGGCAGAGGATGGTGATGTGACAAACTGTAGGCTGTAGAATGAGTAAGAAGAAACCTACTGATTTGGGGATGGATCATCATACGTGTTGCCACCATGGATCTTGAATGCAAATGTTGGTTCCTACTCATTGATTTCTATTAGTGCGTACCTTTTCTCTTTCTCTGTAGAAGTCAGCAGAACAATAGGCACTCCTTTGCTTTGTCTGGAGAAAGGTGAAAGTCTGGTATTTTGTGAATCGTCTAGTGCTGAGCCAGTGTCCGGAATCAGTAACGGGCTGGATGATGGGCAATAAGCTGAAATTCAGACCTGATAAGATGGA